GCCCACCCTAGGGAACTTTTGGGAAAATGGATATATTCTAGATGTTGATATGCTGGTTGCACACACATTTACAAAGATAAAAATGAATCAAGTCCTCATACATGTAGTCCTAGCACTTTGGGCAGCCGAGGCAGGTGGATCACCTGAGGTCAGGAGTTCAAGACCAACCTGGCTACCATGGTGAAACCATGTCTCTATGAAAAACAACAACAACAACAAAAATTAGCTGGGAACGGTAGTGCACACCTGTAATCACAGCTACTCAAGAGGCTGTGGCAGGAGAATCTATTGAACCCAGGAGCTGGAGGTTGCAGTGAGCTGAGATGTTGCCATTGCGCTCCAGCCTGGGTGACAGGGTGAAATACAGAACACAAACAAAAAACCCCAAAAATGAATCAAGTCATATACTTAAGATTGATATATTTTTCTGAATGTAAATTATGCTTCAAGAAATAAAACCCTTCCATGCACAAAGTACCTAGGGTGACTTCTGCTTCCTGCAGTGAACACCCGATTTTGGGAGAGGAGCCCTAGGACAAGAGACAGCAAGAGATGCTGAGAACAAGCAGGTCACCAGCAATGTGGCAGGAAGCTGGGAGTATGGAGGGATGTGACCAGGGAGAAATCTGTGTTGGGAGAGGCCTGTGAATTTTAGAAACTCTATAGTATCTAACTCTCAAGGCATGTCGTTGCCAAGCAGCCTGTGTCAGTGGCAGGCAACCAGCCACACAACGTCCTGAGACCTGATAAGAGGGCTACGCCAACTACAGGGCCAGACAGTCCCAGAGGAGTAGCTGGCTGCAGCAGGGACTGACCCAGGAGCTGCAGTGAGCCAAGCCCCCTCCTTTTCCTGAGATCCCTGAGAGGTAAGGCAGGCTCATGGCAGACCCTATTATGTCCCACATCATGGCTGGAACCATCTCACATGGCTGGTCAAGGCAAGGATGACCCCAGGAAGCCAGAGGACTTGGAGACTCTGTATTGTAGGAAAAAAAAAACACTAAAAAAGTCACTGGAGTGTCACCAGCAGTCACCCCTGGATGGTGGCATTATGGTTTTTTTTCTTTTTTTGAGATTGGAGTGTCGCTCTGCCACCCAGGTTAGAGTGCAGTGGTATGACCTTGGCTCGCTGTAACCTCCGTCTCCTGGGTCCAAGCAATTCTCCTGTCTCAGCCTCCTGAGCAGCTGGGGTTACAGATGTTGCCACCATGCCTGGCTAATCTTTGTAGATGGTGGCATTATGAATATGGATTTTGGTTTTCTTCATCAAATATTTCTGTTTTGATGAAGAAAACATTAGCTGTAAAAAGTATATATATATATGTGTGTGTGTATGTAAATAAGTTGACAGATTGAACAAATTGAACAGTTTAAAGAATAGCTGTGTAAGTGCAGTGGAGTCTGCCTGTGGTCCTAGCTACTCGAGAAGTGTAGACAGAAGGATTGCTTGAGCCAGGAGTTCAAGACCAACCTGAGCAATGTAGTAAGAGCTTTGTTTATTTTATAAATAAATAAATAAATAATAAAGATAACTGTTTAAAATATTATTCAAAATGAATTCATAAAGGTGGGGATTATGTTTTTAGTCTCAGCTTCCCGAAGGACTCACACCTGAGAACATGACCATGTTTGGGGCTCTCTGGCACTGTCTTTGGGCCTGACCTCTGCTCTCTAGGGGGAAACATGAGCTGGTGGTTGCTGAGTCATCATGTATGGGTCACATCCTCCCTGGGAGGCCTGGAAACATGGGCCTGTCTGTGATGAGCTTTAGTGGGCAGGGGGCAGCTTCAGGGCCCTCACTGGGGGCAGCCTAGGGTATAGATCACTCTCTGGACTTGCTCTTCTCCTAATAAATGGACAATGATCAATGAATTACACCCATGAAATAGGGTGGGACGCAATAAAAAATAAAAGATAATATAAATAGCCAGATAGGGTCAAAGATGATTTATTTTACTTTATAATTTTGTTTTTTTTGTTTTTGTTTTTTTTTTTTTGAGACGGAGTTTTGCTCTTGTTACCCAGGCTGGGGTGCAATGGCGTGATCTCGGCTCACCGCAACCTCCACCTCCCGGGTTCAGGCAATTCTCCTGCC